GGGGGGGGAGGTTGTAGGGCTGTCTGAGTGGAAAGAAAGAAAATGACTTGCCGGGAGAGAGGACTGGAGTTCAAGCAGTTTACCGCGATTGGAACTCCGCATGGAAATAAATGGAGACCAAAGTGGTTGAACTGAAGCCTGCATGCGAATCTCTTTGATGCTTCATTCATCTAAAGCAGAAGTGCTGCCTCTGCTGCTGCTGTTGAACTGTTTTATTTAAGATATCGATACTGCTGGGAGGTGTGTTAAAAGTGATCCACGGACATGAATTTCTTGCGTTTGTCTTGCGCAGCGTGCAGAAACTGGAGACCGTCGTTTTTCCACCTGCTGTGGTTTCTCACCCTGGGCAACGTAAGTCTGCGTGCATGCTGCTCATAAAGTTTTCAGGAAATCAAATAAGCAAGTGCTTTCTGCATAATTACTCAAACAAGTTCATTTGCATTTCTTCTTCTCGCGCAGAGCGTTCTTATGAATGCTGGTGCTGACAGTGCCGAATGTGATCAAGGCGCATCTATTCTGCTACGGTCTCTCAATTTACCTCAAAACACAGGTAGGCTTTAAACAAGAAAACCAGAGGGGGGAAGTGTTGATGTGTTTTTGCCACTGTAATGATGTTTTTGTTGGTTGCTGGTCTGTTTTATGCTTTTCAGCTGAATTAAGACAATAAATACTTCTCGCTCGCTCACCCATAAAGCGGTCAGCAGCATCAAACGGCGCTCACCTGCGTTGTGCGTTACCGCCATTCACCGCTGGGGGGCAACCTGTACCCTGACTCGGAGTCACTAGTTGGTGCATGCTGCAGAGGATCTCAAACTGTGGTCTACAGCAAAATAAGGAATTCTTTCATTCTGTAAAAGTCGTTTCACTTATTTCACGTTACATGAAAGGAATTATTTATTAACGTGTCAAGTCAACACACGTGTCCAGAACAAGAAGGGGGGGGTGACAAAAAAACACACACACACAATAAAAATGGCTCCCAGAGCAATCTAGCTGGGACAGTGACCAAACTCTTCCTTCAGGATGCAGTGATGCCTGCTTTGTCAATTATTAGTGCCAGCAGTTAAGAGCGAGGCTTTCATCTGTTCTTGTTTTTGTGGATCTAACCCCATGTGGTGTGATGACTCAGCAACTTCTTTGCAGTTCTCTACCAGATCTTTTGTTGTTGTTGTTGTTACCATGAAAGTTCATAAATATGTCTGCATAAATGAACTCTCTGTGAGCACATGTGCGGATGATCTGAAACAGAAAGGAATGGGAAAGCCCTCGCTTGTGTTTTGAGTTAGTGTCATAGGCAGCGCTTCAACAATTACTTCTCCTTGTTAATGTGTCAACATTCATATGTTAGAACGAGTTCATATGCAGAATTCATATTTTCATTCCTTTATCATCTTTAAGCCAAGGTGCCCACTGGCTGAAGACTTCATCAGTGCTAATGGCACTCAGGAGCCACTAAACCAACAAACCAACAACTGCAGGATCTTGTCTCAGCCTTGTCTGTCTCTCTCTTTCTGTGTGCATGTGTGTGTGTCTGTGCGTGTGTGTGTGTATGTGTACTCTGTTCTCGCGGACTCTTTGTTTGTATACTGTCAGACATGGGTCACCGCAGCTGTTTTTTGTGTGAGGGTGGGACAAGCAGTTAACTGGAAGCAAGTGTGTGTCTATGCATTCGGGGGATGTGGACAGAGAGGCAAAGACAGAGAGGACCATTTTCTGGGTTTGCTTAAGAGCTTTGCTTTCCGCATAGAAAATGCTTGAGACTTGGGGCATGTGTTTGCTCTTTGCAGTCCTGTAACTCTGAGATAGATAAGACTGGTGACATGTCAAGGCTTTGCTTCCTGCCTTGGCTGCCCATGCTAAAACTTATGCAGTCGTAGCAAATCAACGTGCTTTAAATAATTCACCCGCTGCTGAGGACAGGGTGCTGTGTGTAGATACACTGAATGACCAAGATGCACCAAAAAGCAGGCATTGGCACAGGCAGGGATGACACACAGTCTGCCACCCTGCATGTTTTTCCCACTGCCAGAACCTGTCTGTCTCAGTGCTATATATACTCATTGTTAGGTCTTGCTAAAGCAGGTCAGCCTGTACGGTAACTGGGACATGCCCTTATTGACTGTCCAATGTTGTTGTTATTTCTGTGCACTTTAACCTGAAAAAAGTGACACTGTATCACTTTTGCATGGCTAAACACATTTACAGTGGCCATTCCAGTACTGTGCCAAAATCAGCCATGATGCTCTTATGTCTGTTTGCTGCCAGATTACTCTTAAAGCATCAACTGTAAAATGTTTTAAGCTGTGTGACTTAAAACACGACAGCATCGAGTGTCCCTTTTAACTAAGTTCCCAGGACAGTAACAAAAGTTATGGTAAAAATGAATAAATAAATAAATAATTTAAAATGAGAGCAATCATGCACATTTAACGCAGAGCAGTGCATTGGTTAGTGCGGTGACTTCACAGAAAGCAAGTCCTCTGTTTGAATCCAGTGTGTGTGGAGTTTGCATGTTCTCCTCGTGTCTGCGTAGGTTCCCGTAAGTTCAACTTCCTGCCACAATCCAAAAGTATGCATGTGGTTAATCTTAATTGTCCTTTCTTAACTGGTTATATCTGTGAATATCCATGTGAATGGTTGTCTGTCTCTGTGTGTCAGCCCTGTGACAGAGTGGTGACCTGTCCAGGATGTACCCTGTATGGATGGATGGATAGATGGCTGGCCATCATGCACCTTTTCTATATATATTTCAAGTATATGCAAGAGTGAATATGTTCATTTCTTATAAAAGATGTCCCTTAGTCTGTTCTGCCATTCTTACTCCTCAGATGACCTTAAGCAATATTCTCTGTCACATGATTTTTCCTCAAAATGAAACTTGGACCAAGACAGGGAGTCAGTATAAAATCAGCTACTTTTGATTTGACCTTTTGAGGAAAGCCCGTTAATTCTTATGATCACAGCATGATTAGACTTTTAACTGGACTACAACACAAGGGCTGACAATGACATTCAACCATCTCCCTTTATGACTTGCTGTTATCCAGTTTGAGCTATATAAAAGAAATAAAGTACTTGGTCAAACATGATTCACTCTCTACTAAAAGGCCTGGAATTGTCTAGAAAGCTTCCTTTTCTCGTAATCCTCTTTTGACCCCGTCAGCAAAAGTAAATGAGGCAGGCAGAGGAGAGCTAACAAAGAAAAGCAAAAAGCTGTAGTTTTAGACCGTGTTGTAACCAAGGCAGCAGCTGACACAATGTGCAGCAATTCACAATTAATTATGTTGACACAACAAATTAGTATAGATTTACCATGAGGCTAAACATTTATTTTTTGTATCTGTAAAAATATAGTCTTCTCTCATCACAGTTTAAAACCTCTCAGCAGGCTTTCAGTTGCATAGTTCCAAGTTAAGAAATGTCTTTATATTTAATATGTCCACATTAAAAGACTAGATTTAGTTGCTTTTTGTGGCTGCCTTTTTTGTGGGTGTTGTGATTGCAATTTTCACTCAGTGTTTCATTTGTCTTTTCACATTTCCTGTCCCTTTCCTTGCCTCTTCTTCCTTCAACATACTTTATCTCCAGAATATGAGATTGTATCTCCATATGAGGTCGACCACCAAGGCGCTTACGTCTCTCATGAAATTGCCCACCACCAGCGCAAGAGGCGGCGCAGATCCCTCGCTTCAGACGCAGACTCATCTGCCGCTGAAAGCATCAGCGAAACAGTCCACTTCCGACTCAGAGGCTTGGGGCAGGACTTCCACATGGAGCTGAGGGACGCCTCGGAAAGCCTGATTGCACCTGGCTTCACCATCCAGGTCCTGGGAAAGAATGGCACCAAGAGCCTGAGGGCCTACCATCAGGATGACCTCTGCTTTTACCAAGGGTCACTGAGGTCAAGGGTCAACTCCTCTGTGGCACTATCCACATGCATGGGGATGGTGAGTCAAAACAAAGATGGGCTGCAGGATGGGTTCTGAAGATAAGAAAGGAAAGTCAGTAAATAGTTCAGATAAAGGGTGTGTGTGCATCTGTATCAGTCAAAAAGACTTCACGGTAAATTCATCATAAAAGTGCATCTCAGGGACATTTTTATATTGCTTAAGTTTTGGCAGCATGTAGGTTTAGCAGTGAGTTCTCTAATTGCACTCAATGACCGAGAAAAAAAAAACGAGCTTGGGAGCCAAAGAAATTTGGCTCATCCTGGGACCGCTGATACTATAAACACTGAGTGTCAGAGTTCTTGTCATGGCAAAACCGGGGAGGCAGGAAGAGAAAGGTTATTGACCTTTTTTGGATTTCAACACAAAGTTTGGAATATAGTAACTTAACACCCCGAGACAAAAGACAGACAGTAAATTCAATTCAATTGCAATTCTTTCATTGTGAGACGCCATACTTTTTGATGAAACATTATGACTCTCGACAGTATGCTTCTATGGCTGTCTTTCACACAGTTCTTGAGTCAGTCCATTGTCTGTCTGGTGTGCAGAGAAAATTGACTTAAATTGACTTAAAAACCCACCGAATAAGTTGGCAAAACATACACAGGAGGTTCTCGTTCCAGCGTGTCATGCATTATTAGTTGTAAGTCAGCTAATGAATAACTAATGGATGGAAAAGCTAAGCTTCATGTTCACATCATGTTTGCTACAAGCCAGGAAAATTCTAAAAATACACATGGGCCAAATATGCCATGACAATGTTTTGATGGTATTTTATCTTTACGTTTAGCACATGGCCATCACATGGCGTTTACTACACGGATATAAAAATATTTTGAATATTCCTCCAACAACGAGAAGCACCTTTGCATCATCTTGAAGGCCGCAACGTTTGCAGCTGTCACTGCTTAAAGAGGATTGAAATGGGTGCAAATCCAATCCAGGTGAAATTAAACTCTGAGCACTCTAAAAGCTACACAGACAGTAAGCAGATATCCACATGCGAACCTGAGCAGATTTATTGGTGTTTAAATGATCAGCTGTATTTGTGTGTTTGGTCAGAGTGAGGTGTGGGAAAGAATTACTAACTCGGTATCTGCTCTAGCAGTGTTTGGAAGCAATTTTATTTTTCTTTCTACTCGTTAATGTATAATAAGTCCATCTTTTTTAGGCATAAAAGTCATTATTATGCAGTTTGGGCTAAAAATGCTGACTGAATCAATCTGAATTAAATCCTCTGGACTAGTTTACATTCTGTTTAGATTTACTGGCTAAATTCCAGTTCTCGCCTTGGTGGTCCTCCTGTGCTGTATGAACATAAAGAAGAAATTACTGTAATAAGCTCAAGTGAGGTAGTGCCACGCTAAGACCCCAAGTGTTATATTAACCCTCTTAGCAGTCTGGACTAGAGAACAAAGGACTTAATTAATACAAAAACTTACCTACACACTTATTCATTTTGAAGTCAGCATGTTCTTTACGCTGGCTGCCAGTAAGTTTAAAATGACCGTACGTACACACACAGAGCACTAAATCACCAGGCTCGAGATTATTTCTTACAAAATACACTGCTGCTTGCAGTCTTCGTTCACAGGCTCAGCATGTGTTAGTTGTTTCACACATTTGACTGTAGACTAGTGGAGACAGAGCCTTTCAGCCTGTGGCACTTGTGGCACAAGGCATTGGAACGGTCTACCACTACAGCTATGTTTAGTTGACTCAAACCTTTTTTGTTCAACCAGACTTTCTGTTGAGAATTTTATTGATTTGTTTGGTCTTATTGTTTCTTTTTATTTGCTATTATGCCACTTAATTTCATTATACATTCTACTCTTTTTCTGTTGTACAGCTGAAGCTTGGTAAAAAAAAGAGAAGTTCTCAAGTGTTCCTCATTTTGTTCTTCAACATCAGTGGAATGCTTCATTTGTCAGTTGACATCCATTAGTGAATGCATTTAGGCCAGTGGGATATAAGCTTTCATCTGAAAAAAGAAATATTGTTTGAACTTGTTTCTTTTCACAGTTTTACCAAAAGCAAATTCCCCTAAAAACCAGTTTGACCACATTTCACTTAAGCATGGCTTTTAGTGTTTTTAATTAGGCTAAAATAAATTCCATGTTGGTTTGCTGTTTATATTTCATTGTAAGGGACCACTGCTGTGTCTGAGAATTGCCCTCTAAAACTACAGGCAGAGAATGGCACATCTCCAGGGATGCTTCTCTTCTTCTGTGTGTGTGTGTGTGTGTGTGTGTGTGTGTGTGTGTGTGTGTGTGTGTGTGTGTGTGTGTGTGTGTGTCTACATTTCAGGGCAGATCCCAATAAAAGATCCAGCCAAAAGGTCCAGGGTTGCAGAGACTGTAAATGTTGTTCTCACGGCTGAGGCGGGCTAGGACAGACTGGGTCAGGGCATCATTGGGAATTTGGCTTTTTCTGATGTGAAGTTGGGAAGTGCAAAGCAATATCAGCAGGCAAAGGTATTTAGATTCTAGGGAAAAGATCAAGCTGGTTACTGGTTTTCAAAAAAAGGGAAGAATGCATTTTATTAAGCGCTAAACTGCATATAAGAATTTTTCTGCATACGTTTTAATATTTAACTTCACCACTGTCACACAGTCAGTGTTGATACATAGGATGAGTTTTTGCACTAAAGACCTACATACCTATAGGGTTAAACTGGCTGTGCATAGTGCCAGTCTTTTAGGGACTTAAGCCATTTACATTGTTACGTTGTGGTGTCAACGTACATGATACCTCAACGGATTTTAATATGAAGATGTTTAGATTGATTTAACGTTAATATAAGCTTTGGTTAAGGTTCAAAGTTTTTGGACAAGTGTTCAAGTCCAGCCAGTTAATCTAAGTGTGTGTGCGTGCTACAGATGTTGCATACAACTGGTCAAAACGTCATAACAGAGTTCACTGGACTACTTGAAAGCTTATGGGAGACCTTGCACTTTGGCCAGTTTGCTTTAGCAAGGAACAGGTAAATATTGACCGGAGCAGCAATGCACCTGGACTCCAAATGCACAGCGATACAACTTAGATTAGACTCTTTCATCACATTTGTTTGCGCTGTCATTCTTTAAAAAAAAAAAAAATTAACACCATCCATCTGTGTTTAGAGTAAGCTGCAGGGTTAGGGTTTCTCACGCTGGCTAATCGACGCCAACAGAAGGATAATGAAAGATCAGAGTGAAAAGGAGTGACATTGACGAAGAATATAAGGGTCGTTGCTCTCTCCTTGGAAGTTTGAAGTGCTAAAATTCTTCTTGCAGGCAGTGTAACATTGTTAAAGCCTATTTATAATTTGCCTTTTCAACTCTCATCTTCTGGCAGCCCATGCAGTTGATGACAGGAGGGTGATCAGCCGTAAAAATCTCTGACTTACAAGCAATGAATTGATGGAATAAAAGTTTCAGGCCAATCCCACTGATCACCTGCCAAAGGGTTTCATACACCAGCACACAGACATGGAACAGCCCATCATAAAACAGTTCCTTCTCTGTGTCGACTTTATGCTGCAGCATGATATGCTTTAGTCCTGCTTTTATGGGTATGAGGCTATTGAGGAGTGATATGCAGAAATTGTTCCAATCTGGTAACTTTCTTTTCATCCCTATGCCTACATATGGCATCTTGTGCAATTTTTGGTCCAAACAAAGGGGAAAAAAGATGTTATTCCTGAGATCTTGAAACAGAAGACAACTGGAGTTCTTTAGGTTTGTGATGACATTTTACCTCTCATCCAAGGTTTCACAGGGATTTCATCCTTAACCCACAGGTGATGGTAATGACCCATGCCTTATTTCACACCTTGAGATAACTCACATGATCAATAGTAGGTCAGTGACCTCAAGACCACTTCCAAAGGGGACAACCCCTTACTAGGGGTAAATAGCCATTTTAGACCCGTAAAAGCATCCTGGATAAGAGGTGAAACATCTTCATACACCTAAAGAACTCCAGTTGCCTTCTTTTTCAAGCTTTGTTGAAAAACCTACTCAGACACAAGATGTTTAGCATGCCGAACTAATATGTTGAACAACGTTATTGTCATCCAGCCTACCTAACAGCAGCTAGTTGACATTGTGAACTCACCAGCATGGTGGCAAAACGTAAAAGAATGTTGTAAGCCTCACAGAGCTGCAAGCATGATTTTTATCTGTAAATATATTAACTTTGAGACTTGGCTGTCTGCAAACCCCATGCTGGAACCTGCTAGCTTAAATTATTGAGTTATTATGACTCATTTTCTCAAATATTTTTCTGTATACAGCATAGCAGCAGCACTGTACTACCAAAGTAACAATTTGGTCTTATTGTGCCTTTTTGTATGCTATTTAATCTCCTGCTAATTTGCATCCATGAACATTACACAAAGGTATGCATAATAACCTTTTTTCAACTAGTAACTACTAATAAGCAACTGCTTACTCTCTATACAGTATGTCCTTTTTTCACATCTGTACTTTAGCCCTGTGCTTCACCTACATCTGTATCAGTTTGGCTAATTTTACTCAGACTTGTAAAGCACACCTTCCTTTTGTATCAAAGGGAAATTCTTAATGTCCTGCCACTACAAATCACTTGGAAGGTATGTGTTTTCCACTTGTAAAAGGATGGGTGTGTTTCTTGCCTCGGGGCACGCAATCATGGTAATAATAGAATGCTGCACATTTCTTCCACCTCTGGGATTTCCAAGCGAATATGAGGGATGGGTCTACTGATGTTAGTGAAGCTTTGGAAAGCACATAGTGTGGTCTTGGCAGGTTGCTATCACCATTTCTCAGTAGATACTGTGCACCCAATGATGTGAGAACAGTTTTATCAAGGCTTCATCATTCATGGTTTCCTCCACCATACCACGGAGATTAAGTAATGAGGACCTCCAGTTTGTGTAATCCGTGCTGGATATTTTGGATACAGCAGGAATCTCTAATTCGTAAAGAAATGCGCATTAAACTAAAATATGACCCGAGAGAGCAATTCACAGTTAT